TACTGGAGGGACCTTCAGCACTCTAAACAGTAATAATGCCTTAGAATATCAGAGCTGTATGCATAGGCCACAGATATACCACAGGACCACAGAAGACTCACAACCTTGTGAAGTCAGGTAGAGTACCTTAGGGCATATCATAAGGCACCTGACACCTACAGTATGGCACCTGAAATCTTCTCAAAGTGTCAGAAAAATCTCTCTCTGAAAGTGCCAGGCAAACTCTCCCCTAAACACAACCACCAACATAAAATTCCTTTAATGTTTTAATCCCACGTATTAACTCTATCAAATTCTCTTTAGGTGGAGTTCTTAAAGAAAAAGACAGGTTTCACAGTTTCACAGAGGAGGGTCACTGTACTGATGGGTTATTTCTCTTGCAAATTTAAGTGGCCATGATCTAATGAGTTAGAATGCAGAACAGTATACTGCATATTAAAGGCAGAAGCAAGGTCTTAACTTTAATTATTTTAGAATTTTATGAGAATCTTCTGTTCTTGTGCTTTCTATTTCTCTTTGGAAGAGTAAATAAAATTAACTCAATTTCCAGCTGTGGACAGATTGTGGGCAGATAGATAATTACCCTGCCATACCCGTGGGTAGCCAACTTCCCCCACTGTTCAGTAGCATTTGAATTGTTTGCCTTATCTCTCACTGGTTCTGACTTTGTTGAGAAGAACAGAGGTGACATTTATCTCAACACAAACATATATTAGTAAGCCATTTTCAGAGATGTAGGTTAGGCAAGGGCCTGTAAGGCACACATATGGCCAGGCATATTACAGCAATTTTAGTGACAACAAAGACCAGAAAGGAATTGTTACATTTGTAGATAATGTGATTGAAAGTTAAAGGACAAATTCAGGTACATGTCACTATTCTTTCAATGCTAAAAGAAAGCAGGAAAATAATGACCTGTAATTCCAACAGGGAGCAAAGAATCAGACCTTCTACAGACAATAGGGGTATTTCACCCCATACTCCTCTTTTGATTTTCACATGAAGCCATACACTGAATAAATTCCTGGCACGGCTCTGTAAAACCACTGCAGCCAGTTATTAAATATCTAGGTTTAACACGGGAAGTGACAAATGAGAATTACACAGAAAGCAAGTATTTGGTATTTTGGTAGCTTCTTGACACAGCTGCCATGAAACCAACACAAGCTGGATTCAGCCAGATGGTAATGACTTAAGAGCAGGACTGCACAACTTTAAGAGCTGCAAAAAGGAGGTACCTGACCCCAATCAGGCAATTCAGAGTGTGTTACTCTGGCACCAATGTACTTTATACAATAAGCAAACAGAGTGAAACTACCTTGAAAGGATATCAAAAGAGCCCAAGGTTGGCTAGAGCTGTGTTTGAACTTTGGCCCCTCTCTAAAGCTCAGGTGCTGCTCTCCCTTCAGGCTCCTACCCCAAAGCTGTCTTCTAAGGACTGATGAATAACTAACCTTTTGCAAAATAGTGGCCAGAGGACTTGTAGAATAACCATCTGTGTTCCAGCTTCTCCTCAGCCTATGGTGATTTAAGCCCCAAACTGCTATTCCCAACAAGAGTGCCGTACCATCAAACTCAATTTAACTGTCAAAAGAGATGAGAGGATAGCAAGAGGATACTCTATAACCTTTCTTTCCAGGTTGGGCCACAGTGCAGTTAAAAACACACAAAAAAATGGAAGTCAAATGTCAACACAGAAGTTTAATTTGGAGGTCTGTGGACAGATGGAGAGTTGAAGTCCACTCCCTACCTGTTTGTAGGTCTTCTTTTTATTTATTTATTATACTAATTAGAAAAAATAAAAAATTCACAATTAAAAAAAAAAATGGAGTCAGAATTGGTATAGAAACTGATATAGAAATATTAATACACAATGTTTTATATATTTTTTCTAGAAAATTAATTTAATTAACATTGATTTGGAGTATTCTGTAATTAAATGTTTTTAAATTGTATCAAATTACATAAAACTGCAGTATGCTGTCACCATGCTATTTCGTTATTATTATTTTCAAGTGATAAATGATTGGAGGGCAACATAAATGCTTTCACTCTAAGCTACAGACAAGAATGTAGAGGTAGGTGATAAGAATGACTGGAATGGGAAACACTGCGACATCTGAGAGCTGGTTTTGACAGCACCAGCAGTGGCATTATAAGTAAAATGCAGAAGACTTTACATGGATTTACAGTCCGTGCAGCAGTAATAATCCTTGACATGCATTATTTTTGAACTACTGCTGCCCATATGCAATGTGTTAAGACAACGAACTTCCAAAAGCAATCGGAAGATGTCACAAACGTTACCACTCCACTCCGTAACACACCATAGTGAATCAGGGCAGGCCTCAGGGAGACTTTAAAGAAGTGGTGGAGTACAGCACCAAGGCAAAGAAAGCCCTCAGAGGTTTAAACTTCTGTCACTGTAACTTGGTATGACTCAGAGTCAGCAAATGCTGCAGCTGCTGCTCTTTCTCACACTACCTGTAAACAAATGAGCCCTGTGCATTTAGCAGCTCCTTTTTGGAAGAAAAAAAAAATATATATTTATATTATATTATATCTATATATTGTATTTTTATTTTTTTTTTCAGATTAGCGAAAACCTATCAATTTCTTGTGTTCTCTTTTAACCATAGATTTTACTTCACCAGGTTTCTTTTTTTTTCACTCTTACAGTATTGCACAACATCCCAAGTGAAAAGAAAGTGAAATAGATACATATGTATGGAATATATGGACCACAAAGCTCCTCCGTGTGTGTTCTCTGTTACTCAGTTTACAGTGGCAATAAGGATAATACATGTATAATTGCCACAGTTTTTTCACCTTTCATACCCATTCCAGTTTATTTAAGGGTCTCCGAGGGACTGATTTTAAGCATCCCATTTAACAGCCCTGAGAAAATACAAATCCACTAATCTGATTTAGAAAATATCCACTCACTTTGATACAAAATTATTTATTATTTATCAGGAAGATATATGCTATTATTGCAAATGATCACAGGGAATTTGGAAATACAAAATCAAAGTCAAAATGTCTGTTGTATACCTCCCATGCATAGATGGAGCCAGATATTGCTCGCTGGAAATATTTAAGACTGCCATTAACACAAAAAAAGTTCAGTATTTTCAAATGACTCCAAATCCCTTTTATTCTTAGAGGGTCAGATTCTGCAGCCACCTGATTCAGTTCCAGAGGGATGCAGTCTCCACTAGGACACAACTACACCCTCAAATACAGGCTCTGCAGTATGTTGATGTTGAATGGTGAGATATAAGTCCACAGTGAATCTGAATGTGCAGACTGAAACTATTTCAAACACACTGGCAGTTTTGAACATGTATTTATGGTAAAAATAATTCTGGAGTATCATGCTCTCTGTATACACTGATAGCTTTATTGGCTTTCTTTTAGCTGTATTTGAAAGACTTTGATAGTGCTCTTCAACAGACAGGACCTTGTAGAGCATGTCACCATTTTGATTATAGTCGTAAGGCGTGGAGTGCTATAATCACAGGCTAGGAAGTGGTGCACTGAGTAAAGGCCTGAATATATTTTACCACAGTGCATTAATAGATATTTATTACAAAATATTACTTATTTCTAGTGCAGTATTTTCTGTATGTAAAAAAACAAACAAACAAACAAACAAAATAACACTATAAACACAGTGTTAAACAAAATGACCTACTACTCTCACCTTACATAGACTTTCCTGTTTGCATAACCAAGGATGTCCTAACAAAGCAAATTTTTTATGTCTCATCAAACCTAAACATATGAAGTGTTCTTCTGTGGGCTAAATTTTGCAACAGTTAAATGCCTAATAGCTGCTGTTTTATCTGAGGTCGTGACCAAGTGTCTTGTTCTTCTGCCAGTTGCACTGTAGCTATAGCTCAAAGCAACAATAAATCAGTTATATACATGTTTAAAACAACAACAACAAATCTACTCTCAGAGGTCCAAACTCTCCGAGCCAACTTCTCTGACCTACTGATGTTAATGATATTTGCAGATCAGAGTCAAATTGTGAACGTAAGTGCAGGCATTTATAGTTTAGGGCAATGCCATTCCTTGCTTCTCAGAGTGTAGTTTAGCCAGAAAGGGTTTTATTCAAAAAAAAAAAAAAAAAAGTTAAAAGGGAGAATGACAGGAGAGAGACATGGCTCCTCCTCCTTCCACAAAGGATGCTTCCTCACTAGCAGAATCATCCTTTCCTTCTCCCTCCCTCAGTTTGACAATCGCAGAGTGCCAAGACACAGAAATCATCCTTCCACCAGTGACATCTGTCTCCCCAAAGAGCTCTGGAGGCAGTTATTGTGATAGCTTTGGAGTCTGTCATATCATTAGGTGAATATTGAATAGTCTGGAACTTCATTCTCTTAATGCTAGTTCTGCTGACTCTCATTTGATTGGCTGGAGTTAACTCGATGCATCATTTAATTTATTTTTGTTTTATTATTTTTTTGATGTGTGCTAAAAAGGGGAGGAAAAAAACTTAAATGAATTTATGTATAGGACTTATAGGTTAGGAATGCCTTCTCTTTCATTTATTCTGTGGCATATCCATAATTAACAGACGGCAACGTCCAGCTATGCTTCTACTGGAAATACTGAGCTTTCATTGTAGAACAGCTGATGCATATGAAAATGTAAGAAGGTTTTATGTGCCATTTCTTTGCAAACAGCGACTTCAGAATATTCTCATTACTGAAGCATAAAGAAAAAAAAAAGACTTTTTAAAATAACTACTCTCCTTAGAAATCACATTTTAAAAGAGTACCGATTAATATCAGAAGCAAGTTAAAGAAGTTTTAAGTATTATCCTTTTCAGCGTGGCTATCAATAGGAAGCTGACAATAGTATTATTGCTATTTACATATTGGTAACACGCTGGTATGAATTTGCATAACGTATTGTGGTTCTATGCTCTAGGGAGTTGCATTGTAACATATTGGTGCTTAATGAACTCTGAAAAAATTGATTTTCCACAGAGTAAATTAAGGAATGCATTATAGCTGTTAAAGCAATCTTAAGGGAAATCTGAGGCTTCCACTGCAGCACCATGCTTAGTAAGTAATAAATTACATGTTATACTTATTTGCCTTAATTCATGCTAATTTTGTCCAATTAATGTATCACAGTAATTCAGAAGCCTGTCACAGGAGAGCTAATTATTTATTGGATTTTTGTGTTCAGCTCCCTAGGAGTCTACTAGCAAACAAACTTGCGACTGTCTTTCTGTTAGGTCCACAGTGACATTCTTATGTCTTACTGTGGAAAGAAAAAGAGTTATTATTTTCACTTTAAGTTATAAAAATGGATCATTATTCATGTAAGTTATTTTTTTGTTTACAAACTGGTGTCACGTAGTGACAGTCTGCCATACTATTAGGATGAGATCCAATGTTTTTCCTCTTCCTGTAAATGCCTGAACATGACATAATTCTTATTAAAGACCACAGTGTTACTTTTCACAACCTGAAAGCTTCTGTCAGGTGTGTGTAAAGTTCAAGAAAAAAAAACTCTTCTCATTCTTTTCACTGAAACCTATGTTTTTCAAAATGCATCAGCTTGAAAAATCAAGCACAATATGCCCATATAAGTTGATATGCTTTTACAAGAATAGATTTTTAAATGTGGCAGAATGTTAATTCACAGTGAAAAAAAAAAAATGAATTATTTATGAGATTAATTTGTGCAATTCATACCTATAAATAATATGGCAGTTGCTAAATAATTTGCACAGAGTGATAAGATGCAGACATCACAGTTAAACAATAAGAGAGTCACCAGCTGTGAAATACCCACTATCTGCTAGCATTCTGTCATGCACAAGCGTTTACAGGAAATTATTTGTTGGGGGTGGAAAGTATTAGATCTGATACTCCGCTTCTTCTCATGGGTAGCAGGAGAATTCTTGTCAGTTGATTACTGTCTACGTGAAAAGAAGTGATATTTCTTTAAATGTATAATGCAAAGTGACGTTACCAGCAGGCTACATAAAATCATGTGATGTAACCTGCCATAATATGATGCACATGACCGACTGTGTCACAAATTTAAAAAAGATTTATTTTAGAAGAGTTGAAAAAAAAAAAAAATACCCCTACTCCTTTTCAGTCTGTTACCTTTGATCTGTGTCTGCCTATAGCCAAATGAATTCAGTAAACACCTCTGAGCAATATACCATCTTACACTTATTGTAGCTATTATTATCACTTAAAAAGCATCTGTTGAGTATTTCATAGTCTTCTACCACCGTTTTTGAGTATCATCGTTCCTAGAAAACACACAAAAAATTGACAAAAATTGACAAAATCCGTTCCTTGTTGCATGAAAAACAGTTGTTTAATTGTTTATGGCATTCCAAATTTGAAGTTGTTTTCTTTTTTTTTTTTTTTTTGCTTGACTTGTCCACTTCAGAAAATACAAAGCCTATACTTAATTTTAGGCTTAAATCCTGTCAAAGTCAACAGGGATGATAACTGAGTGTTCCCCTGAACTAGGAGTTTTATTTTCAAACTGCATTACTTGGACATTCAGGACAAGGGAATGGAAAAATATGGGCACCCCTTCTAAGGATAGGAGCATGTATGGCCGAAAATGCCATGCAAAGATGATGGCCATTTTATGAATGGTTTGGGAAAAGAGGCGGCTATGCAGAAGAGTAACAATCAGAAAGGAAATCCCAAGAATCTAGAAGAAAAGATCTTATGATAATGTCAGAAGATTCTTCTCACCAGCAAATACATCAGTTCTGAAAGCCCATTTGCCTGAAAAATACTGAGAAATTTTTCCACCTCTCAATCCTTTTCTTCCTATTAGTCGTCTGCATCATTGCCTATATAGAAGTTTAAATAGCCTCTTTTCATGAGGCAAAATCTGCACAACTTGACACTGAAATTTGTCTAAAGCACTAAATCATATAGAACAAGTGACAGATCGTTTGCATGGTAAAGATGTCACACTATACAGAAAAGGAAAAAGCCTAAAATATAAAAACAAGATTTGGATTCCCTTGTTGTTATGAATGTTTTAAAGTGTCCATGTTTACTCTCTTGTCAAGCTAATATGTTTGCTTCTGCTAGACGTAGCAGAAACTTATAAGCTAACTTTTGTGTTTCTTTGAACTAATATAGAAATTTGAAAAAATAAAATAAAAAATCCTTGGAGAGGGAAGGCTAGCTATGAAGAATGAGATATTCATTACAGAGCCTTGACTATGTTTTCTTCTTCCTTCTCCAAGCAACCCTTCTGAAGAGACCAACTGCACAATGGAGGTAGGGAGAGGAAGGGTACTATGTTTTCCTGTATTTTTTTCTGTTTATGCCAGCTAATTACCTCACTTTCCATGAAGGCATCTGCTCTTCTGCTTCTTATGTCATTGGATTCTTCTCCAATCATTCCGAGTATGACAAAAGAAATCAAATCTCAACACCTTCTTCCGCTACAGAAATTCATGAAAATCCTCCTTACAGTAAACACTTTTCTTGTCTTTACACTAAACACTTTAATTTCTGGAACTATAAATTTCCCAACATCAATATATTTTGTTATTCTGCCTGACACCTGACATATTCTGATACATTGGTTCTTTCCAACTTCCAAAGGCAACTTCTTTCTCCACACCTGGAACATCTTTGTCTCACTTCTTTCCTCTCCCACGCCCTCTTCCCCTCACCTTGGCAAAGATAAGCAAGCAAGGGGGTTCACAGAAGCCTTTTTGGACTGGCAAGATTTTAGTGGTCTTTCATCACCCAGCAAATGGAGGAAGGCTCTCTGTGAAAGCAAAACATGTATTTATGATCACATTCGAAATGTAAATAATTTGCATAATCAATGCTTATACATTGTTTTGTGCCATGCAAAATCTGTCCTGTTATGCCAACACGCCTTCTTTGTTAGACTGTGAGACATTTTTTAAAGTGATAGGGGAGTGATAGGGGGTGTAATTTAATGAAACAGTACCACCAGTAGTATCGTTCCTCTCTCAAAGGAAACAGGGAAAAAAAAAAGAAAAAGAAAATAAGAAAAAAAAAAAAAAGCCTATATACCTATATAAATTACAGAGATTTATAGAATCACCTGTACTCCCACTTGAGTCTGTTGCCTTTTTTCCTATTACTCTGAAAAGAGTCTGGGTCCATATTGCCTTTAACTTTGAATTTGGTAGTTGGAAACATGAGTTGTCTTTACTGACCCTTGTGACAGCATTATCCCAGTGATCCCAGATGGACAAGGGTCTACAAGGGAGCAAGTGCTGGGAGTCGTATGGACGGTGAACAAAAAAAAAAATACAAAAACAAACAAAAACAGGTAATAGGCTTTAGTGTCTAAAAATGTAATGAGCAATGCCTGAGTGCCCCAGTGATGAATGTTTAGCCTACAGAGCACAAATGAAATTTGAGATGGATATGCAAAGAAGGAAAGTCTGAGGTAGTTTTTTATAGAGTGAATTGTAGCAACGTGTAAGAAAAGGGGAAGGAAACTCAAAAGTGGCTATAAAAAGAGGCAGACTATTGTTACAAACAGAAACCATCCGCTGAATGAGATTTTCTAATGGATATATTCTGTAGATCTTTGCTTTCCTTCCTGACAGGAGTGGATGGAGACTATGAATATTCACAGCGCTGCTTCCAGGATTCACCCATGACCAAATTCCTCATCATGAGCACCATGAAGCTGATCACAAGTTCCTGTCACGTGTATGTGACTCTTACATTCCTGTTTCTGCTTCACTTCTCCCAAAGAGTAACAAAACAAGTTAGAACTGTTCTTCTGTAATTTGGAAGATGACTCTCCAATTTTATTCAGAGTTAGAAAACAAGCAGATTTGTTGCCTGTGATATTATCAAGATGGTTAGCAGAAATAACAAGAGTAACAAGAGTTCTGTTTACTTATCAGAATCTCATACTTTGTGGATTTCTTTCTTTTTTCTTTTTTTTCCTATACCTCCACCCCGCCCCCAATCTAGGGATTCTGGTGTATATTTACATGCTTTTGCAAGAGACAGGAAAGAAAAGAACACAGCAGTTGCTTATGCACTGTTTGCTGCCACATCTGCAGTTGCTGACCTCCAACGAAATACTTCTGAAGTTGCTTGCATTAGTAAACACAGGACCTATGGTAAACAACTACATAACTATAGTTCAATACAATCACTTACGAATAGCCCCAGTATGCAAGTGATTCCACCTGATGTGCATTTGACCCAGTGGTCTGTCAGAGAGTCACACCTCTCCTGCTGCTCATACAAAACTCCTTTCTTTCAGCATGCTACTGCAATTCACTTCTACTTTGTAAGTGGTTTACATTGTTCTGCTGAAATTAACAGGGATCTTTTCAGCTTTGAGATCTTCAGCTGAAATGTGTTATAGAAATGCAAATAAACTACTACCTTATTATTTTATGCAGAGACTGCTGTATAGATCTACCTAGCCATTACATTTACTTTCCATGCCTATCAGTATGCACTCAGAGATTGATAGATGATGGTTTTATAATTCTTAAATACTTTCTGATACCCTAAACCTATAGAGCCTTCAGACATTTTGTTCAGGAGATCTGGAATACTTTGCTACTTGAAATAAAAAGAGCTTCAATTGGCATGGTTTTAAATCCAAACATTTAAGGCATTGATTTTACTTAGTTTTTCTAAAGTAACTCCTTTAGGAAATTGAGTGCTACTTTGCTAATTTTAACTTTATTCATTTTGAAGTGCTCCAGGATACTAGCACAAAGGGCACTGTAAAAATTGCATTGTGCTGTATTAGGTTGAATAGGATGAGTTATAGAACTCTTTGAGACTTGCATTTCTAGAATTTAGTTATTAAAATGCTTATAATGCTAAAGGTTTTCATTTTATGTTTGGGCTTTTTTCCTTAATAATCATAGTTTCTAAGAAATATCTACCCTACACAGACCATCTCTGTAAGCTTTCTAATATTTTCTTTGTCAAATGGCTGTACAGAAAAATTTATAGAAGTTATTCACACCTATATAAATGTCATTTAAAACTCAATTTTTTATTGCCTAAATTATAGTAGAAGTTCATTTTTTATACCGCTTTTCCAGTGATGTATAATCTGTAAAATGATTTTTTTTTCTTTTGCAATATGATAAATATGCTCACTCTGTATAAATCTGAATATAGCATGCAAAAATTATTTTTGTTGCATAGTAAGAGTTCAGAACAGCCAGTGCAAAATGAAGTAATTCATGTGTTTGAATTTTAGAACATTTTTACTGTATGAGTTTTGGATGTTTGTAACCTACTACAGTAAAATTAAATGTATAAATACAACAAAGATTACATTAATTTTCCTTTGATGATTATAAATTTTATTCAGGATGCATCATCACTGATCTCAGTTTAAAATAAATAAATAAATAAATAAATAAGTTCAAAACACTTTAATTTTTAAAATAATATTATAGTGTTATAATGAGTTTTTTCCCATAAGTATCTCTTCAAGATAGTATAGTGTGCAAATGTAGAGAAAAAAGTAAGATTCTGATTTTTCCTCTCTGCTTTCTGGTGATTTGTCTCAATCTCATGCATACTCAAGTATACACTGTGAGGAATAAACACCTAACACAAACAGGCATAGAAATACTTTAAAAGCAATAAGCAAAATGTAAAAAAAAAAATTTAAAAAAAAAAAAGTTTGAGTTGAGAGAGGAAAAAATCAGAAGTATTCAAAAAGGTAAACATTGGCTTTGTATGGAATAAATGGAACTTTCCTTAACTGTTTTGTTTTGTTTTTTTTTTTTCTCAAGAGCAGTGAAAAATATTCTTCACATGTACCGTCTTGTGATTGTTTTCTTCCTTTCCTCCTTTTCCTTCCTTTCCTTCCTTTCTTTCTTTCCAGCCTCTCAACAAGGGATAATTTGTGAAGGGATAACTTAGTGTAGGAAAAACAAGGCAGATGAACTTTAAGTAGCATTTTAATAGATATACCACCAAACTTCAGCAAGTCATCGGGGAGACAGATCGATAGAATGTATGTTATCACTAACATCAAAAAGAATAGATCTATCACAGTAAAAAAAAAAAAAAAAAAAAGCCACAAACTATTTAAAAATTTAAAGCATTATCTATAGCATTTTTATTCAAAGCCTTTTTTGAACAATTGTGCTTGCTTCCACACTTCTCTGACAATAGAAACTACCCACAAACCTTACTCTCATGGTCAAATTTTTGCATGGGCTTTTTAACTCTCATGTGTAACTAGATTTGGTATGTGCTTCAGTTCTGTCTAAAATATACATGCCATTAAAAATATGGTAATAAGTCAGCCTAGTTTTAAAGGAAGAGGGCAATAGCACAGTCATCCCAAAGCAAAAAGCACAATAACAAATTAAATACATGTTTTATGTTTTATATATTATATCCATGATTATCACGATATAACATGCACTACATAGCATTTATCTTACCCTGCCTCAGTCAGATCCAAAAGAAATTGAAACCAATGGTTATCTTTTCATTGGTCTTGGAGTGTGTCTTTTATTTGTTTCCAGTGTGTTCTTTACTCTTATATTACAAATTATCCTTTTTCCTTCTTCACTGAGACCAAGGAAATTTGTGGTTTTATGTGGAACTTGCTTGTTCAGTGCCAAGGTATGGTAGGCTCTTTAATGATGAACAGACAGACAATTCAATGTTTCTGCTAAAAAGACCTATTGATTTGAGTAGCCCAGGGCCTGTAAAGACTCCTAAAGCCTGGGAAGCATTTATGGTAAAACCTAATTTGCCAGGAAAAACATAGCTGACAGTAGTCAGTAACAGGGCAACACAAACCAGAAGCCTCACCTAAAGCTGTGAGTGTATGCTTATGTAGCATTCAAATCCTGATGCTCTTCTGCGATCATAAAATAGGGAGACAAGACTTTCCAAGTGAAATGAAAACTGCAAATTTATCACAATTCTGTGATAAACAGCAGGGGAAATTATGGGCTGTGATTTTCCTACAACTTTAACTGTAAAATACTCTGATTGATCTAAATTAACACAATATAATAATCTACTTTTCCAGAAGTGAAATATGCAGTAAATTAGAAAAGAATAAAACTTTTGCATTTATAAACTGTACAATGGCTGTACTTTTAATTTAGAAAATAAAAAATCTACAAGCAGGTGGGAAATGTTTCTCATCTCTATGGGGAAAAATGTATCAAAAAAATCTTTTCTTTCAATTAAATGTCAAAAGTTTGCCTAGTAAGCAGACAGTTTGAAAACAAAGTTATTTAATCAATGCCTTGTTTTTTTTGTGTGTTTTTTTTTGTTTGTTTTTCCACCAAGAGTTTTGTGTAAGCATATGCAGTCTTATTTGTATGAGTTGCTTTTCTTGTACAAAACAATTGATACTTAAAATAAAATCACTTATGTAGGCTGCATTTATCATTTTTTTTAATTGTGAATTAGGCTTGAGGTTTCATCCACTGTGGTTGTTTAGAACTGGATTAAAGCACATACCATTTTTCCCCTTGGAGTTTGGATACAAAGTAGAATATCCTTACAAATTCATGGAAATACATCGAGATGTCAGATTTAGACATTTTGTTCCATGGAAAATTTCAAATAGGAAGCAAAATATAAGAAATTTTATTATTATTATTATTATTGTTGTTGTTGTTGTTGTTATGAAAACCTGCCATGCTGCCTGCCAAGAACTATGTTTCAAGTATCCTTTGATAGAGGGTTGCATAATCAAAATGCTATAATATTTTAATATTATAAAAATAATATAATATAAAAATATTATAAAATTATTATAATATTTTATATACAATGATCATCTTTCCTAGATAATCTGACTAATGAAACCCCCCGGGAGACATAACATAGCTGGGCAATCCAGCTACCCTTTCTTTAGTACAGAGACAGGGAAAATCACCAGTGCATATGGTAATGCTGTGCACTTGCAAGTAAAACAACCCAAATATCAAACCAGTGTTTTGGCTATTGCTGAGCAGTGCTGGCACAGCATTATAACTCTCTCCAAATCCCACCAAGCCAGAAGGCTGGGAGTGGGCAAGATCTGGGGAGGGGACATTGCCAGGGCTGCTGACCTAAACTGATCAACGGGATATTCCATACCGTATGGTGTCACACTTAGCAATAAAGGGTGGGAGAGGGGAAGGAGAACACGTGGCTTTCATTATGAAGATGTCTGTTCACCCAGACTACTAAATGTGTTGAGGTTCTCCTTCCCTGGACATGGCCAAACATTACCCATTGATGGAAAGTAGGGAATAATTGTTATTTCTCTCTCTTTGCTTATGTGCAGCTCTGCTTATTTTTCCTTCCCTTCCCTTCCCTTCCCTTCCCTTCCCTTCCCTTCCCTTCCCTTCCCTTCCTTCCTTCCCTTCCCTTCCTCTTCCCTTCCCTTCCCTTCCCTTCCCTTCCCTTCCCTTCCCTTCCCTTCCCTTCCCTTCCCTTCCCTTCCCTTCCCTTCCCTTCCCTTCCCTTCCCTTCCCTTCCCTTCCCTTCCCTTCCCTTCCCTTCCCTTCCCTTCCCTTCCTTCCCTTCCCTTCCCTTCCCTTCCCTTCCCTTCCCTTCCTTCCTCTTCCTTGGAGAATCAGAGAATCACAGAATTTCTAGGTTGGAAGAGACCTCAAGATCATCGAGTCCAACCTCTGACATAACACTAACAAGTCCTTCACTAAACCATATCACTAAGTTCAGCATCTAAACGTCTTTTTAAGACCTCCAGGGATGGTGACTCCACCACTTCCCTGGGCAGCCCGTTCCAATGCCTAACAACCCTCTCGGTAAAGAAGTTCTTCCTAATATCCAACCTAAAACTCCCCTGGCACAACTTTAGCCCATTCCCCCTCGTTTTGTCACCAGGCACATGGGAGAACAGACCAACCCCCACCTCACTACAGCCTCCTTTAAGGTACCTGTAGAGAGCGATAAGGTCACCCCTGAGCCTCCTCTTCTCCAGGCTGAACAAACCCAGCTCCCTCAGCCACTCCTCGTAAGACTTGTTCTCCAGACCCCTCACCAGCTTTGTCGCCCTTCTCTGGACTCACTCGAGCACCTCGATGTCCTTCTTGTAGCAAGGGGCCCAAAACTGAACACAGTACTCGAGGTGCGGCCTCACCAGAGCCAAGTACAGGGGGATGATCACTTCCCTAGTCCTGCTGGCCACACTGCTTCTTATACAAGCCAGGATGCTCATGGCCTTCTTGGCCACCTGAGCACACTGCTGGCTCATATTCAACTGACTATCAACCATCACTCCCAGGTCCTTCTCTGCCAGGCAGATTTCCAACCACTCATCTCCCAGCCTGTAGCTCTGCTTGGGGTTGTTGCGCCCCAAGTGCAGGACCCGGCACTTGGCCTTGTTGAACTTCATACAGTTGATCTCAGCCCATCGGTCCAGCCTATCCAGATCCTCCTGCAGAGCCTTCCTGCCCTCAAGCAGATCGACACACGCACCTAACTTGGTGTCATCTGCAAACTTACTGAGGGTGCACTCAATGCCCTCATCCAGATCATTCTTCCTTCCTTCCTTCCTTCCTTCCTTCCTTCCTTCCTTCCTTCCTTCCTTCCTTCCTTCCTTCCTTCCTTCCTTCCTTCCTTCCTTCCTTCCTTCCTTCCGAAATTATCCTCATCTTAACCCATGAACCTTCTTCTTTTCCATCATACTTTCTACTACCTCTGTTCCTTTGAGGTGGGCGAGTGAGAGAGTGGTTGTGGTGGACTTCAGCTGGCCATCGGAGTGAAACCACCACACTTCGTATTTTCATATGACTACCACAAAATTTTAGCAATTTAAGTTCTTTTTATTTTCTGTAAAAGGACACAACACAACAGTCTTCTTCTGAATGGGGTTTATGGTTCAATTTACATGTTCAGCTGAGTGGAGTAAATATAAAAATTATATATGGACCTTTTGATATATTTCTGCAGTTGCAATTGTCATTAATTAAAACAAAATATTAGTTTCAACGAATGTCACCCTTTGTATTCACTTCTGAAATACAGCACCTTAAATATATGATGACTGCTTTGAAGTCAATACATTCAGTCCAGTGTAATGACAACAGATTCTACTCTGTGACACTAAAAATCTCCATCTATACTTGTACTTTATAGCACATTATAGTATAGGCATACAAATTTGATGGGGGGAGGGGAGGGGCAGGACCAAAAATGTTGAACTTTGCATTTTTGTCTTTAACTGCTATTTCAGTGAAAGAATTCATAGATACTTCACTTTTGAGATATGTAAATAAGAGATGAGTGAATCAAACTTCACAAGTATTAGTCAGCAAGTACATTTTAAATCCTTTCAATTCCACTAATCAGATACTCTTACATCTATACCACTAAAATAATACAAAATGTTTGGAAAGATCTGGAGAGATCATCACTTTAACGTTTACCCCAAAGGAGGTATCAGCACTTACAAGGGCACACTTTATAACTTTTTTTTCCTTTTTCTTTTAACCTACCACATCATGAAGGTACGCAGAAAGTCATTTTTACAAGATTTACAATAGCCTAGTCCTGCCATACAGCGGTATAGTTGTATTGGGTTTATGTGGCAAGGTTTAGGTGCCAGGGGACTGCAAGGGTGGCCTCTGTGAGAATCCAGAAGCTGCCCCATGTTAGATAACGGCCAGTTTCAGCTGCTCCAAAGGAACCTGTCACTGCCCAGGGCTAAACCAGTAAACAATGTTTGCACCTCTGTGAAAGGCACAAAAAGAGAAAATTAAATTAAAATAAAATAAA